GCTGAGGGGCGCAATCTATTCTTTTGACGTACCGCACAATGCTAGGGAGATAAGCCTATTCCCCAACCGTATGTTTTTTTTCAGGTGTGGTTCAAGAACCGGCGAGCCAAGGAGCGGAAGCAGAAGAGGGAAGTAACCAAGCAGCCGGGAGCCACCAAGAATTCCGCTTCGGGTGCGTTTTTTAGGGGACGAAGAGACTTCGCTAAGCTTAAGCCTAAGCCTCGGCCCAGCCTAAGCTTATGCCTAAGCCGAAGCTGAAACCTAAGCGTAAGCGGGAGCTAAGCCTGAACCACAAGCTAGTGAGCTAGTAAACAAGCTAACTTAGTCTAAGTCTAGTCCTAAGCTAAGCCCAAGTCCAATCTACGCTTATTCCTGGTCCTAAGCTAAGCCTAAGCTAGGTCTAAACCCAAGCGTAAGCCTAACCCTAAGCCAAGCCTCGCCTAAAGCTAAGCCTAAACTAAGCCTAAGCCAAAAGCTAAGCTAAACCTATGCACCTGATCATTTACTTTCAGATGAAAGCGACCTCGAGATGTCAGCCGACGAGGACGACACCAAGCCAAAGCGGAAGCGCGTCAAAACCGATGCCGACCCCCATCTAGTCCCCTACCCGCACCAAAGCAGCTCGAGATCTGAAAATGTCGCTTTCTCCTCTCTCTCTCTCTCTGTCTCTCTTCTAAGGTCTACTCAACCGATTATACGGGTATCACAGCGCAATTAAGCTTCAGCTCAAGCTTTTACTTTTGAAAAAGCAAAGAGCGGCTGCTGAGGCTTTAAAAATCTTTTTCTTTTTTGAAAGTTTTCTCTTGTCCTTTCACTCGCTACGCACCCATTGCCTAGTCATTTATTTTTGCATTTATGCCCTAGAAATTATTGATTGCCATTTTATGATTGATGTTCAATACCTTGTGCGGTTGACTTTTGGAAATTGATCCTGAATAAAGAGCTTTAGATAAGTAATTTTTTGTTTGATTTTAATAAAAAATTATCAGTAATAAATAGGCAAAATCTAGGAGATAGAAAGAGGGAGAAGGAGAACAGAGAGAAACAGAGCGAGGGAGAGAGACCGATAGAGACAAAGAGAGACACAGAGAGTGAGAGAGAGAGAGAGAGAGAGAGAGAGATAGAGAGTGATAGAGTGTGAGAGAGACTGCAGAGAGCAAGAGAGTGAGAGAGAAAGAGCCAGAGCAAGACCCGAACGCCCCAAAGCCGCCGCTTATCCCTGGATCACGGGTTACGGTACCTAGAAAGGGCGCGGGTGTGCTGAAGCGCGTAGCGCTGAAGCGATTACCGGCACGATCATGGGGGGTAGCCGATGAGCATGAGGGGGGCCAAATCGGGTGAGCCGATGGGGAGCACGAGCCGACTAATTGGCATCATACGGCTCGTTGACCTGCTCGAAGAAGGAGGAAAGAGTGTCTCGACCTGCGCTCTGCCTTGCCTTCCAAATTCCAGGCCTAATCTCGAAAAGCGGGACAAGAATTGGAGGGGGTAAATATAAGAACTGAGAGAGGGGTAGAGAGAGTGAGTGAGAGAGGGAGAGAGAGCGAGGGAAAAAGGGAGAGCGAAGACGAGAGACAGAGAAAGAGAGCGAGGGAAAGAGAGGCCGAGAGTGAGGGAGGACGAGAGCGAGAGAGAGCTAGAGGGAGGGAGAGAGAGCGAGGGAAAAGGAAGAAGGAGACGGAGACAGGAAGGCGAGGGAAGAGAGGCCGAGAGGAGGGAGAAGGAGAGAGGGAGGGAGGGAGAGAGCGAGGGAAAAGGAAGAAGGAAGACGAGAGACAGAGAAAGAGAGCGAGGGAAAGAGAGGCCGAGAGTGAGGGAGAACGAGAGAGCGAGAGAGAGCTAGAGGGAGGGAGAGAGAGCGAGGGAAAAAGGAAGAAGGAAGACGAGAGACAGAGAAAGAGAGCGAGGGAAAGAGAGGCCGAGAGTGAGGGAGGACGAGAGAGCGAGAGAGAGCTAGAGGGAGGGAGAGAGAGCGAGGGAAAAAGGAAGAAGGAAGACGAGAGACAGAGAAAGAGAGCGAGGGAAAGAGAGGCCGAGAGTGAGGGAGAACGAGAGAGCGAGAGAGAGCTAGAGGGAGGGAGAGTGAACGAGAGAAAGAACGAGCTAGAGAGAGATAGATAGAGAGGGAGAGAACAGATAGAGAAACAGCGCGCATTCCTCCCCAAAATCCGCGGCAATGTACCGTAGCCCTTCGGGTGATTATCGTCGCTGATCCTATCACATTATCTCATTTGGGCGTCGAACCAAACGGTCGTGCTTCCCGCGCCGTATCTCCTGCTCCCCGGCGCTCCCGCTCCGCGCACAGGGATTACGGCGCAAAATTCGAGGCTGCACAGCGCCGGGCGCGCGAATTAGGCGGCTAGACGGGGAGGGGAGCGTCAGGTGACTACAGTAGTCAAATAAATGTGGTTACGAATTTGGAAAATGGATAAATGTAAATTTTTTCTTACTATCTCTCGCCTCTCTCTCTCTCCCTCTCTCTCGCATACATCGGTCTATCTATGCACATCGATATCTCGCTCGCGCTCTCTCTATCTCTCTCTCGCTCTCTCTCTTTCTTTTTATCTCTCTCTCACTCTCTCACTCTCTTCCGCTCTCTCACGCTCTTCCTCTCTCTCTCTCGCTCTCTCTCACTCTCACTCTCTGTCTCTCTCTCCGCTCTTACCATATACATGCGATATAACATACTTTGGCAAGGAGATGTCACCGGATCTCCCCCCCCCCATGCGCAGGTGTGAATTGGAGCGGGGCGTCGTCCTCAAGACGAATAATTCACGCGATTCACAGCGACTAACGCCCGTCATCCGACACCCCATCTCGCTCTCGCTGCCTACCATTTCCCACTGGCCAACTGCCCGAATTTCCATGTAGGCGTGCGACCCGGCGCAAAGTGGGGTTACAAACTGGACATGACGTGGGCTTGGTACTGTGCTGTTAGCGGGGGGTAAGCGGAATGCTTCGGTGCGCGGTTATACCGTTTGAATAATTTTTCAGTCGGTATTCAGGTTCATTTTTCTAATATCCAATTTTTCGAATATAAATTGAGGAAGGGTTTCAAATTTTTTTCGCTATTCCTAAACGCAAAAACTTATCACAATTGGTTTAAAAAAATGCAAAATACAACAATTTACGACCAAAATTTCGAAATTTCGAAATTTTTAAAGTTTTTTTGGTTAATATACCCTCTGTAGTATTGTTTAATTTTACTAAAATGTTATTTTTCGTTTTTCAAGATAGCAGAGTTTGGTTCCACACCGGTAACGTGGTCTTTGTACGAAATCGTGGTCTTGTACGAAACGTGGTCTTTGTACGAAATCGTGGACTTTGTACGAAATCGTGGTCTAATGGACGCCGATGCGGGTAACGTGGTCTTTAATCGATATCGTGGTCGATTGCCGGAATCGGGGTCTTTAAAAAATCGAAAAATCGGCGCTTTTTGGGCCTGTTGAAAACGGGTCTTTAAGAATCCAGGTTCGGACCGGCTATAGACCACGATTCCAAAACTACCGGAAAAGCCCCCAAACGCTGGAAAAACGTGGCAATCACCAGTATGATCCGGTACACCCGACGTTGAAACAGTTTAAAATTGACTGTTTCAAGAAGCCGGTAAAGCCCAAAAACGCGATTCCGGTGTATGTAGACTACGTCGAGGGGAAAAACTGTCGGGGCCGACCTAAACAATCATTTTTAGCTACAAACAGATTTTTTGTATATTTTACGATATTTTGAGAAAATCGTTGAAGAAATTTTGAGAAAACATTGAGAAAACATTCAAGAAATTTTGAGAAAACGTCTAAACTGTCGAAAACTAGCTTTCATTGAATGTTCCACTGTGAAAACTACGTTTCATATTTGATTTTGCCATAACTATTTTGTATTACAATATTTTGACTTAAAACAAAAACTCTTCGTATATTTTCGATGATGGCGTTGAAAAAATCCCGAAAAAAATCACAAATCTATACGAGAGTAACCTCATTCAAAAGTGTTCCAAAAGTCCTGATTCAACTGTTTCTGCAATTTAAAAATACCCAAACTTCAATTTCCCATAAAAATCGCCGCAAAAATATTTCGGAAGTGTTTGCTAGCAGGTCTTACTCAGAAAAGTATTGGCATTTGGCCGCCTCATTTCCAATCGAACCGAAATTTTTAGGCCAGGTACGCAAGGCTATAAACCAGACATGGCAATCGGCCGGGCCGCGCGGCTTTTTCGGCCGCAAAAATTAGAATGCGGCCGAGCCGCGCGGCTTGGCCGCACCTCCGGTGCGGCCGCGGCTTTTTCCGTTTTGAGGCCGCACGGCGGAGCCGCGCGGCTTTTAAGGCCGCATCCAAATGAGTTTTGAGAACTTCCGGTACGCAAATCCGAGATGTAATGGGTATTTACCTTGCTAACGAGGAGGATTTATTTTCGACAGCCTTAATTTTCTCATTTCCATTTCCATTTCGCATGAAATGCGCGGATTTTTGGTATGTAGAAGAGCTACTTCCGGTTTGCGGCTTGGCCGCGGCGGCCCGGCCGAGCCGCGATGAAAATGCGGCTCGGCCGCGAAGCCGCGTTTCCGGAAGTAACTAATTACGGCGGCCCGTAGGGGCCGCATTTTTTAAGGAAATTAGGCCGCCGGCCCGGCCGCGCGGCTCGGCCGATCGGAATTGCCATGTCTGCTATAAACCACATAACGTGCTAGGTTAGAAACATACTGGTGAAATTGCCACGTTTTTCCAGCGATTTGGGGGCTTTTCCGGAAGTTTTGGAATCGTGGTCTATAGCCGGTCCGAACCTGTATTCTTAAAGACCACGTTTTCAACAGGCCCAAAAAAGCGCCGATTTTTCGATTTTTTAAAGACCCCGATTCCGGCAATCGACCACGATATCGATTAAAGACCACGTTACCCACATCGGCGTCCATTAGACCACGATTTCGTACAAAGTCCACGATTTCGTACAAAGACCACGATTTCGTACAAAGACCACGTTACCGGTGTAGAACCCAGAGTTTTTATTTATATCTGTGCAGCGGAGCCGTTGAGCGATTTTTCGTCTCGAGGGCCGGGTACCTGGAATGGGAAAGGTTCGAGAGGTTTGAAACGGGGATTTCGATGCTCTATCGAATGGAAAATGCCGAGAAATACCGAAAATCCCGTGAGTCTATAGACTGACCTTGGCGCAGCGTTGACCGGCTCGGCGATGCCGAGATTCACGGATAAAGATGGGCCCGGCCCGGTGGCCCATCGTCGTGGACCGGACGTTAACTGAACGATTCAATGGGGGACTTTAATGCATAAATCTGTGCAAAATCAAATAATGCAAAAGAACCAAAAACAGGACAATAAATTTCAACCCACCATGGCCGTCTCGTGGTCCTCGCTGGCGAAATGAGCGCGACTCTGGGCCGGGGTGGCGAAGGACACCTCGCACAGCGCGCAGAAGCGCGGCTCTTCCACGGCGACAAATGGCGCGGGCTGCTGTGGCTGCTGCTGCTGCTCGACGGCGATCCGCATCCACACCACTCGCCCCGCCGCCGCAACGTCTTGAGCCTGGTTGACGGGGCACCAGAAAGCTTGCGGGAATTCGCCCTGAAAAGGCCATTATAATTCGTCATTAGCATGTAGCCGGATGTCCTAAATTACCCTAAGATCATGACGGAAAAAGGGAAATCCTAAGCGACAATTTATTGACTTCAATTCGACGATGGCTGCGCAGCCGAACGCCCCAGCTGCCGCGCAGCCCGTGCCCCAGATCGTCCGCTTCAACCGCCATGACCCCGACGACGTCGCCGAGCAGGTCGCAAAAGTGGTCAGTGTTCTGCTTCGTTCTCTCGATCACCGGCCGATTTTCAGCTCGAGGTGTACCCACGACTCGACCAAGAGCGCATCGCCGAAGCGGTCCGGGAGGGCCACCCGGGTGAAGTGGTCGTGGAGATGATCCTCGAGGGCCGCCTGGTCATCGAGCGTCGAGTCTCTGACCGCATTCACGACATCAGCCAGCGCCTTCTTGAATACCAGGACAGCAGTGACGAGTCGAGCGATGAGTGAGGGCGTTTTGAGATTGATAGGAGGGCTGAGGTCTCTGCAGTAGATGTTCATCTACCGTAGCTCTGCTCTCCGTTGTTCTACAGGGTTGTCAAGTGTACCAAAATACTCGCCAGATGAAAATGAACATTTTGGTGTACTTTAAAGCCCTGTAGACAAACGGGGAGCCGAGATAACGATCTTTTCGGGGAGGGCCCCGCCCGCGCGAACAACAACAACGTGAACGTGCCGGCGGTGCCTCACTACATGGGCTGGGGATATCAACGTGCCCCGCCGATGCCCGCCCTGATGAGGACCACCCTGCTCGAGCAGTACGAGCGGGAACTCCGCGACTTCTACGGCACCGTCCCCCACGCTCGGCGCACCCGGCTGCACTTTTTGGGCAACGACAGGACCTATCTGCTGCGCGTGTGCCCCAATGTAGGACTTTAGCATTATCGACCCGTAGGGAATTGAGAAAAAAACTGGTTCCCCCTTCCCCCGCTAACAGTCCAGTACCGAAAAATCGGCATTATCATAGAAATGAGCGAATTCCAGGTGCCCGAGTACCGGCTGAAGGTGGTGATCGAGTACTCAATGTCCGTCGACTGTGCCTTCATCGCCTGTTTCCTCCTCGCCACCCACGTTCGCACCGACGAGGTTCACACCCGCATCCTCGAGATCCTGCTCCGAGTTAGTACGTGTTACTACCATGTCGTAATCGATTAAACCTCCCATTCAGCTGGCGCCCTGCCGACCCCGCTCCTCTTGAAGCGCACCAACGAGGCACAGAAGATGCGCGATGCCCTCACCAACCCGTACAAATGGTTCCACGCCAAGAACTTTCGAGATCTCATGGTCCAGCAGGTCACCCAGAAGTTCCAGCCAGCCATGGCCAAAATTCGCGCGGCCGAGTTTGGACCGGTGAGTGAGCCAGAGCCTGGGTCTGAATCTGAGCTGAAGCCTGAGCCTAAACCTAACTACAACGACTTCAACAGGTCATGTAAAAACGGTCGCCTCGCTGAGTTCCTCCCCCCCGCTAATGACCCATTGCCCTGAACAATCGGTCCATGCAAAGTCCACTATTCTTCAGGTGATCACCGTCGAGCGGTTCGAGTGCGAGATCTGCTGCGGCGAGAAGCCGAAGAAGAAGGCCGTCTACTGCACGGTTGAGGAGGAGGAGTCGGAAGAAGAAGAGGAGGAGCAAGACGAGCAAGAAGCGCAAGACACCCAGGAAGATGATGAAGACGAGGATGAGCCGGTGGTCGGCGAGGGCGAGGAGGACGACACGGTCACCGCCGATGAGATCAGCGCCCACGGGGAGCAGGAGGATGAGGAGAAGGGGCATAAATTCTGCCGTGAATGCGTCAAGGGATACGTGGAGGCGGCCATTGACGATGCCGTCTCGGTGTCGAAGGACGCCTCCGGGCTGCAGTGCATGATGAACGGCTGCAACGGCACCATCAAATATCGTGGGTCATTTGGTACTACCCCCCCCCGCTAACAGACCAGTACCGATCATTTGAGCATGACCATTTAGCCGTGCTCCGCAAGTGCATCCCGAAGCGCGACAAGCAGACGCGCCGCCGTCTCTGGAATCTGCTGACGAAGCACGCGCTGATGGAGAGCGGCATCCAGCTGGAGGAGTGCATCTACTGCACCTATGCCCAGGAGTTCGAGCAGACCCCCGACGTCAACAAGGTGTTCGAGTGCCTGAAGTGCTATGCCCGGTTCTGCCGGTGGGTTTCTGGGTCTTTTTCTCCCCCCGCTAACAGCCCAGTACCACCCCTTCCAGCGTCTGCAAGGTGAAGTGGAGCACGCACATGGGCCAGAAGTGCGACGAGGTCAAGGCGTCCGCCCTGACGAAGGAGGATCGCGTGCGGCTCGAGCTGTAGCGCCCCCTCCTCTACCTCATGCTCCTTTTAGCGAGGAGGCCCTGGCGAACCTGTTTGTGCGCAAGTGCGGCCACTGCGGCAAGCTCTTCCAGAAGATTGACGGGTGCAACAAGATGACGTGCAGCTGCGGCAAGTTCACGTGCTACGTCTGCAACCACCTCATCGCCGGCTACGACCACTTTTGCAAGTGGGACACCTCGCCTTTCTCTCCTTAATGCGCCGCTTCTAGCCACCCGACCGAGCCGGGCGCCAAGAACTGCCCGACCGGATGTGGCCGCTGTATGCTGTGGGCCGACGCGGACAAGGAGAGGCTGGAGATGGGCAACGCCGTCCTCGAGCGTTTCAAGGGCAGGCTGGCCGGTCGGTTCATCTACCATTTTCACCACGCAGTGCTGCGTGGAATCCCTGTCTTTTTGCAGACGACGTCCTCAAGGTGTACGCCGACGGGCTCGGCGAGTTCAAGCAGTGAGCCGTCGCCCCGGAAATGAATTACAAACCCCCGTGCCGAATTTACTACATATGTGATTTAACATGTCATTACTCGTCCACCGCGCTTTGCTTTCCCGTCATTTTGTATGGAATAAACATTGGGTGTCAACGGTGTGGAGAGAGAGAGAGAGAGTGAGTTGAGAGAGAGTGAGTGAGAGAGTGAGTGAGTGAGAGGGACTGCGAGAAAGAGAGTGAGGGACTGAGAGAAAGAGAGTGAGGGAGAGAGAGCGAGAGGGAGTGAGTGAGCGAGTGAGAGATAGTGAGCGAGAGAGGCAGAGGGAGGGAGAGAGAGAGAGAGAATGAGATTGAGAGAGAGGGAGAGAGAGTAAGGGCGAGAGAGAGAGAGAGAGAGAGAGTGAGAGTCGAGAGTGAGAGAGATATAGGGAGAGAAAAAGTGACAAATAAATAGGACAGAACTCACCAAATGCAACGCCTGAAGCGCATTGCTGACGGAAATCGCGACCACGACATGCTCGAGCCGGTACTCGAGCGGGTCCGGCGAGTTCTGCAGTTGCTGCTGAGCGAGGCACACGTGAAATGCCTATTATAAGTTTTGAAATTTTAAACTTTGAACTCTAAACATCCAACCTGTGGCCGATCCTGCGAGTGAGCGGCGCTGATCTCGACGAAATACCCCTCCGGTGAGGTGCTGATCATCAAGCACAACGTGGGCTGCTGCCGAGTGGCCTAAAAAGTGTTCCTATTGACGATCAGGCACCCTACCGCCTCCCCTAGCGGCGCCGAAAAAGCGCTGGACGTGTGGACCTGCAAATGAATCAATTGTAAAGATTTGATAATAAATAAAAAGTATAATAAAATAATAAAATCAGCTAGAATAATAAGATTTTAAATTGGTTCCAGGCCCACCTCAAGTGGCCGTTTCTTGAGGCTGCTAATCTGGCGCACCGTCATCGCCAACTGTTCCCGTGTGCGAGAATCGCCTAAAAGTTTTTTTGTTTTTCAAGGTTTAAAAATTGTTGTTAAGGCTTAAAAAATAGTTAAATGTTTAATTAGATTAGTTAAAATCCGGAATCTGACCTCAAAAAACTCGTTTCTCATGTTTAAAACGTTATTTACGGCTGTTAAATCCTTAAAAACGCTTCTACATGAAATTCAGTAGAATTTTTCACAATAAAATTAATTTCCGCATTAAAACAATTCACATTTTTTCAATTTTAAATGATAGTATTGGCATGTCATAGTGCATTTTCAACGTCAAGACCGCTGAAAACGCCAAATTCTGACACACACACCTTCTGCGGCGCTCGCAGCCAATTCGGGCAGCTTGAGCACGGTGCGCTTCTTCGGGCAACCGGCCGCGTGCCACTTCAGATGCCGCGACAAGTCACCGGAAGTCCTAAAAATTGCTGTTACTTAAGCCCCAAAAAGCTCTCACATAAAATCCGCCTCACACTGGCTGCATTTATGCGGCCGCTCGCCGGTGTGCTTCCGCATGTGCGTTTTGAGCGAGCTGGCAGCGGCATATGTCTAAAGGTATTATTAACTTCATAGGTTTTCGGTAAAGTTTTATTATTATTGTTTTAGGTACTTTAGTATTATCGGGGTGAGGATCGAATTTTTCCTGTAACTTCAGAAAAACACAGTAACGAATAGTAAGTATTTTAATGGACCATTTAGTAAAATTTAACGAAATTTAAATGACAGATTTTCAACGTCGAAATTTTGGTCAAAAAACGGCGATTTTTGGTCGAAAATCGATCCTTTGAAGCTTCTCCTGAACAGTTCCAATGTTTTTACGTTAAGGAATAGTAAAAACTTTTAGAAAACTTTCCTCTATCAATTTTCCAAAGATGGAATATTAGAAAAAGTCCCACCCCCCCCCGATATTGTCAAAGAGCCTGATTTTCATAAACACAAACCCCACCTTTGCGCATAAAGTGCAAGCAAAAGCCCGAGCCCCGTTGTCCTCCTCGCCGTGCCGACTGAGATGATCATTGTAGTGGTAGGACGTCGAGAAGCGCTGCCCGCAACGCCCGCACCCAAACGCCTTCTCGCCTAAACCCGCGGATAAAACACCAAATCCTTTCCACCTGTATGGCTTTTCATATGTCGATCTAAATCATAGCGTCTGGCGAATGTCTTCTGGCATATCGGACAGGAGAGCTGCGTCTTGGCCGGCTCGCTAACACGTCGAGCTCTGCAAAAGTACTTTCAAGCTCGAGCTCTCGTCACTCACTTTCGCGCCAGGGGAGCCGGTAGGTGTTGTGCATCTTCTGCATCGTACGTCACCCTATAATGCATCGAAAGTTGAAAATATGACTGTTAAACCCATACTGGTGCTCCTCTCGCATGTGCTCGATGAACGTGGCCGAGCCTTTCAGCTTGCCGCCGCAGACCAAGCATTCGTAGACTGCCAGCATATGAGCTGGCTCGGCGGTTAGCCGGAAACAAATGTTAGTTCTTCCTTTCAGTGACAATCGAGTTTTACCCAGCTTATTTTGTGCAGAATTTCGCACTGGTTCCGATTCTGGTTTTAAAATATACGAAAAAGTTATGAAGCTTTTAACGGCGAAAACGACCGTAAATGGCCCAATTTCGAGAAATTTTTGCCTTTTTCACATTCCATTGAACCATAGGAGAACCGCGGAATTTTCTTTTTTTTTCTTTCACAAGATTCCTTCTCATATGTCTGAAAATACTTTCTTTAAGGCTGCCCCTCTAGAACCCGTGGTCCTAAAACCAAAACCAAAATCAGCCCTATACTTGCTCAAAAAACCTCTGTCAAAAGCTTTTCTTCTCCTTTCGCGTAGATGCTCCCTTAAATTCTTGTCCCCAAACTGCCATTATATTCCGTCAAAAGTCTTTAAAAATCATCTTTATCGACTTATCCACATCTCCTATCTACTGTAATGGTGTTCTCGTCATTCTACTCTTCTATTCCATTCCCCCTCTTTCACATTTTCATAATATTTACAATTAATCATAATTTTCCCCTTATTTATCTACCAGTGGAAAAAGACCGCTTCGCGGCCATTTCCCATTGGGCCCCGTCCAGGGATCATGAATTTGAATACCTTCTTCTTTTAGCCTGCGGCGCAAGAACCTGAGTAATGGCGCCCTCCTTTGGCCTGCGGCGCTAGAGCCAGCGTTCCGCTAGAACCTTTGAGCCTGCGGCGCTAGTTACTGGTTTTTCCTCGGGGATTCGGCCTGCGGCGCGAGAGCCTGGGTCAAGGACCTTCCCTTGGGCCTGCGGCGCTAGGGCGAGAGCCAGGAGACCCACACCGAGAGCCTAGAAATATGTTTTGTTGCTAAACTACCAAAAAGCAAAAAGTTGTATTTGCCTAGGATCCGAACCCACGATCATTCGGGTGATAGGCCAGTCGCAATTCCACTACACCACGGGTCAGATGGGAACAGGCGGCCGGAAAGCCCTCTTCTGTTCCGGGGAGGGGTGGGGACAGAAAAGGTCGACCCAATGCCCCGGGAGGGATGCCTTCTGGTCACTTTACAAAATTAAGTTTTCGAGTCTGAATCTGCAGAAAATTTGTAAAGATAATAAGATGCGCGTGATCCCCACTATCGAATACATAAGTGGTCCAAATTTCAGCCCGAAATTCCAAATGCGAATCGAGTTATGCCCCGAACACCACGGCTCGTCGCCCATTTTGTTAAGGATTTTTACTATTTTGCTTGTAAAATTGTTAGATGGAGGAATTTCGAAAAACAAAAAAATGCGTGTCTGACAAATGTGTTTCTCCACCTCCATACCAAAAATCAGCGCGAAATTCGGCCTGACGGCCGAGAAATCGTCTGCACAGAAAACAGACATACTTTTCTCGCTTATAGGATAGGATCCTCTCCACCACTCTATTTACACCTGATTCCTCACGCTGTAAAGAGTTGACTTTGTGAACCTTGTGTTGAGAATAAATATTAAATATTAAATATTAAAAATGAATCATAACTTCTTTTATCTGGCAGTTTCGCAGCTTTTGCAACCAGTTTCGGAATCAGCGCTAAATTCCGCATCAAAATCAGGCTCGGTCGCGTACGGAAACTCCGTTGAGACTAAAAAAAGTCCGCTGCACGCCCAGAAGCTCAAACGTACTGTTCGCAATGCTGCACGAGATGCGCCATCGTGTCGTAGAGATGACTGCAGACGGGGCACCGTGGCGTCAAGCTTGTAGCCTGAAATTTGGAACCTTCCTAAATTTTTAAAGCTTCTCTCTAGCTTATTTTAATCTATTTTTGCCTTTATACTTTAATAATTTCTTCCATTTTTGTGAATCGTTTTTTTTAGTCCATTCTACTCACCGCGCTCGTCGTAGAAGGCACCGGAAGTGGAGGCTCGGGTACCGGTTGTGCGGGCATCACATAGGCCGGCATTTGGTGCACCGGCGGGCCGGGTTCAAAGCCCATCGACAAGTCTGGTGCCGGCACGTTATGCCCGAAATCGAGCGCATTGATCATGTACATCCCGTCGGCTGGACCGGCCAGTAGATCATGATAGTAGTCGCCCTGAAAAATGCAAAAATGCTCTTCGCATTTTCGTCATTTCTGTTTTTTTTTGTAGTGTTTCCCCCACCTGAGGTGCGAACATATTCGCCGATTGCGCCCGCGTTGGTTGAGCATCTCCCTGGGCTGGCGGGTGCTGATGGTGTTGGGCAGAAGCCGCACCCGTCCGATCGTGCGGCAACGTTTCCGTCGTGCGCACGTCCGGATGGCACTCGGCCATGTGCACCAGCCAACGATTTCTGAAAGAATTTACAAAAAGCCCAAAAAGTATTTACCTATTCCTAAAGCTACGCTGGCAGACGACGCAATTCATCGGCCTTTCCCGCTCGTGCACCTGTTTGTGGCGCGTCAACTGTTCTAAAACGAATGCTGATTCAACAAGCATTAAAATAAAACTTACGAAAACTGGAAAACGCCTTGTGGCATAGCCAACAAATATGTGAGCGTAGCGGGCGGCCAGAATGGGCGCGGGTATGGACGCGCCAAGTCGAGAAATTCGGGAAGGTCAGCGAGCAGATACGGCAACTGTACATACTAAAAATCACAGGAGTTATACATTATGGCTTATAAGATTAGGAGTTATGCGTTAAAGTTTAGAATTTGTAAATGGCAGTACCAAGGCTGTTGCGCACGTCCATGAACCGGAAGGCCTGCAACGGAAGCCGGTCTCGAGGTCGACGTCCTGACCGGCGAATCGTGGCGCTGGCTAGCCGTCTCGCCGAGCTGCATCAAAGAACCGCTAGAGGTGTCTGGAAAATGAGCAATTTTAAGGATGGATTATTATACTTTTATTAAGTAAGTATAATTCTCCAGATAGACCCACTTTCGCCTTCTGCCTGACATGCCGCTTCGTGGTGTCGCAAACGCACCGATGATGGAAGTCGCTAAAATATAGTTTTTATATCTTTTTAGCCTCTTTTTAAACGCAGCGTCTTTGAACTTACGGCCCCGCATCTCCGACATTGATAAAGCTGGTGAATGGCTTTATGACGACGTAGAGCATCAGCTGAAGAGAGCTGAAAACACGGTACTTCCCCTCGAGTTCATAAAACCAACCAGCTTAAAACAATCCGTACAACGATGCATGGCAAGCGTCGGGTCCACCATATCCTGCCTCAAATGAATCTCCATATGCGTCTGAAAATGCGGTAAAACGAGCTAATCTGACATTTCTACCTTCAACCCGTTTCTCGACAAAAACTTCTTCCCGCATCGCTTACACCGATTCTGCTTCTCCATGGTGTGAGAACGGATGTGGGCCTGTAATTTGTTATTGCGGTTTCTAAACCTAATCAAGGCTTACCAAACAGTCCCTATTTTTCACAAACATCTTCTCGCAAAATGGGCACACGTAGGCCCTACGCATGTGGTCGGGAAGAACTAAAAATTTCTGATCATAAAACTCTCCGCGACTCACCGGATTCGTGTTGATGCTTCAGGTGCACAGACAGGGCACCGATGTTGTTAAATTTACATGTACATTGCTAAAAATACGTTGCTTTTTAAAAAAACGGGTAACTAACCGGGCAAGCATAATGCGCGTCCTCGCTTTGCCCGATGCGATGGACCGCTTGCGCATGGCGCTCCATACTTTGGATCTAAATCAAGTTAGAACGAAGCAATTCTCGAAACGTACGCTTTTGAATGGCGCCCGGCATATCGGGCACGCGTACCGTCGCATCTCGTGGTCACGCTCGACGTGCGTCAGTAGCCCCCGCTCGTGCGCGTAGCTACGATCGCACTGGTCGCAGCGGAATGCGCGAATGCCTGTAAAATATCGTCAAAAATGCGCTTTATTTTCTACCTGAATGCGTCGCCAAGTGACGCTTCAGCTCGGCAGGCCTTTTGAACCGCTTTTCGCAAACCTCGCAACTGAAAATGGCCTTTTCAATTTCTTTATGAGCTTTCCCGACGTTTAGGCTCCTTGAATTTCTTTATTTGCTTTTTCTAACGTTTATATAAAGTTAGTTTCAGTATAAAAATCCACAACTTACACATGGGATCGGCCGTTTAGCACATCGGTGGGCAGCGGAATAACAAATGAAGACTTTTTCGACATTCGCCTAAAAAAGCGATAAAATTTTAGTGGCGTAGCCATACTTGAGAAGAACGTGCTGCCTCTTGTGTAGAGCCATTTGGTCGAAAGAGATCGTCGTAGAGCATTCTGGGCAAAATACTAGCTAAAAACCAACTTCTAACTGTGTTGTATTTTCATACCTTATCGTAATCATTCGACAATTGAGTGGAACAAGGGCTCCACCGAAGATGTCGTGTCAATTCGAACTAAAAGCTTTATTTTCCATTGAAAGGACGTTTCACCTACCTTATAATGAAATAAAGCCCTGCACTTCGTACAGCAAAACAAATCGCTAACATAATGCGTCTGCAAATGCCCGAGTAACGCCTTCCGGCGCATAAATCCTCGATTGCAGATACAACAATGGAATTTGCCATCTAAAGCATTAAAACAATTTTGGGGAATGCACCTTCGCTCGTTCCTTGGCTCTCGGCTTCGTGGACCACACAAGTATGCACCCGAAGGTTCACTGCTTTGTTAAACTCCTCGCTACATACTTCACATCTGGAAAGGCATAAAGCAACTATGCACCACAAACTTGAATTCCTTCCCAATGCTGCAAGTGGGAAGGTGAAGGCTTTCATTTCCGGGGATAGCTTGCACGTCGTCGATCTCCAGATCGCAAATCATACAATGAACGCGTCTCTCACAAACGACGATCGGCATCATTCCCATTCTTGCATCGTGTTCATTTCCCGCAAAATTTATGGCGCCATTTCTTTCAGAGTTAAACTGAAACAGAGTTCTTGTAAAAGAAACTAGCTATTCTCAAATTTTCGAGCGTTCAAGCTAGGCTACAAAGCCGAATATCCTTGAAAACTCGCTAAATCCGTCCATCAAAAAAATTACCTGCGCTTCTTTGTGATGTATTGGGACCCAATTCGAATTATAGGTGTCACATTGAGGAGTGTATGAAGTAGATGGCTCATTTACCGCCTCAAAATCTATCACCAGAGCCTGCATCGCCCTAAAAAAACCTATACTCTTGTCCGCAAGATCAACTTAACAAAATAGTAAATTTTAGATTTTCTTTATGATAAAGAAATATTATTTATTCAGTTTTAATCCCATCAAATCGAATCCCGGGGTTGCGTTACGGCATGGAAACCGGGCCAGACCTGGCTTTCTGCCAGCGGTCCTGTGGCGCTCCCAATACGGTAGGAAACTCTCCCCATCTTTCGGGGCTTTAGCTGCCGGTAATGGAAGAATAACGTTTTGATCTCGTTTCCAAGCTGTTTTGCTGCTCGTCACCCTCATTTTGACCATAATTCACGCTTGTTGCCTATTTATCGTTTTCCAGCGTCATTTATTTCACCGATTTCATGTACACCTCTAATTTTTCCTTTTTCAGACTGGGGAAATGGTGAGGGTGCACTACACCGCTCAACCCGAGAACAACACGAAATCGTGCAAGGCTCGGGGCTCCGACCTCCGCGTCCACTTCAAGAACACCCATGAAGTTGCGATGGCCATTCGCCACATGCCGCTGAAGCGTGCCCAGCGCTACCTCCAGAACGTGCAGGAGAAGAAGGAGATCATCCCTTTCCGCCACTTCAACCACTGCGTTGGACGCAAGGCCCAAGCGAAGACCTTCGGCGTTGTCCAAGGACGTTGGCCCGTGAAATCCTGCGAATTCATCTTGCAGCTGTTGAGGTATGCTTTTGATAGTAACACGGCTCGTTTTGTGATGCGTAGGCCAAAAATTGCGTTACATAAACGCATCCTGTCTTGCGTTTGTTTTAAATAAGAGCCGCGTTTGTCTGTCCACCATTTTGAGCACTTGATCCTGTCGCACTAATTGTAGTTAGGTATACGGATCCTTTCCTTGCTTTTTTTAAAAGAAAGACTGTGTTTGCCCAGTCACCGTTTCGAGCACTTATAATTGTCGCAATACCCTCTGTTGTCGCCATTATTAACCTTTATTTTACAGAAATGCGGAAAGCAATGCTGACTACAAAGGCCTGGACACCGACCATCTCGTCATCGAGCACATCCAAGTCCAGCGTGCCGCTAAAATGCGCAGAAGGACATACCGCGCTCACGGCCGAATTAACCGTTCGTTTCTTTTTCACAGCTATTTGATTCTTGTTTAGCGTTCATGTCCTCTCCCTGCCACATCGAAGTCATCCTGACCGAGAAGGAAGACGTCGTCTCGAAGCCCGCGGAAGGTGTTGCCCGCGTAAAGAAGGAGTCTAAGAAGAAGCAGAAGCGCCAACTGGCCCGCGGGGAGTATTGATTCTGTTGCATAAATTTTATTGTTACATTCTGTTATCATGAAATAAACTTCCAGTTCCGCTTTTGTATGAACCAGAACAACTGCACCTACAGAGGAAACGCTTGTAGACAATATGGAGCAGAGTGATTTGGGCAGACAATGAAGGCCGCGGTTGTCTATGTTTTGGGTTGTCATCTTGATGTTGTCTCTAAGTATCGGGGATGATTGCCACTTCAAAAGTTATCAATGATGCACAGACGTGAAATTACCGCTGCATATGGTTTTACCAGCAGATGTGCGGTATTGCATTCAGCCCTGCCGCGGCCCGATCTTTACCTACGCCATTTCCGGCTTCACTAAAACCTGCTCGATTTTAGCGGCTCTTGGTGAAGTCTTTATTTGTCCAGCCACCATCGATTTGGTGGGGTTTTTTTCAGAAGGCATGCCGGACAAGTTTGCGGTAGCGCAACTACCATCGCTGTTATGGAGGAAAGTTTACGGCATGATGGATCCCGGCGCAAAGTATCGTTTTCGGGGCGTTAATAAGGTATGCTAATGGGCGTCTTTCTGCAATCGGCAGGCATTTAGGCTCTCTTGGGAAACGTATCCCGACTGTGCATAATGTCTGGACCGGTTGCAGCCATGCGGATTCAGCGAACCACGGTAACACCCTTACGGTTTATCAGTAATAACATTCAAAATGTCAAGATCTGGACCACGAATATCGTCGTGAGCAAGGATATCGAATTGAGCATTATCTACAAGTGGCATCCTCATCCGTCAATACATTTAAAATGGCAAAACACGGGAACAAACGAAACCCGGTGGGTTTTAAAGCTGGACAACCCAGGTTCAAATACTATTGTTTTTTGTTTCAGGAAATTCATTTACAAAAACGCGGACCTGAAGGGATGGTTGAAACTACTAGAGAGACTGAGGCCTGCATCGCTTAATATCACCGTTTCTGCAGGGTTTCAAAAGGTCGAAGAGAGAGAAGAATTTTATGACATATTGCCTGCGCTTCCGCAGTCTTCTTGGCGGACAATTTACACCCGATGCAGGACAATCGAGGTGGTTTTACCATTTTCTAACCATATAGTTTTGCTCACTGGGCGTGATCCCCCTATCTATCCTTGATTATAGGAGAATATTGCGGAAGCGAGGACGATCCGTAGTCATCTCAATGATGCACCTGATACGGTAAGGAATCCTAAATTGCCCTTACAAAAACGGCCGCATTTAATTTGGAAAAAATGCCGGACTGGGTTTTGTTTGTTTGTTTGCTGGTTGGGTATAAAAAACAGGGTGATAGTCGGAATCTCGAAATTTCGGAATCTCGAAATTTCGGAATCTCGAAATTTCGGAATCTCGAAATTTCGGAATCTCGAAATTTCGGAATCTCGAAATTTCGGAATCTCGAAATTTCCGAATCTCGAAATTTCCGAATCTCGAAATTTCTGAATCTCGAAATTTCGGAAATATTGGCAGATTCCTGGAAGCAAAGATTCGAATCTATCGAGATTCAAATAGGGATGGTTCCTATACAAGAAAACATCCGCTCTAACTCGGCGGAGCAACGTCGGATCGGGATGATAGTTATACCATCCAAAAGCCCTTGAAACGACGAGTTGATAAACACCTTTTTTCAGAGGGTCTACTTTTCGTTTTATCGGAAATCTTGTATTTGAATCTCAAAAAATTGGATACATAATAGTTTTGCTTCCAGGAATCTGCCAATATTTCCGGAATTTCGAGATTCCGAAATTTCGAGATTCCGAAATTTCGAGATTCAGAAATTTCGAGATTCGGAAATTTCGAGATTCAGAAATTTCGAGATTCCGAAATTTCGAGATTCCGAAATTTCGAGATTCCGAAATTTCGAGATTCCGAAATTTCGAGATTCCGACCCCTACCCAAAAAACACCTTGCAGTGGACCGGATATTGTTACGCCTACGACCGTCCAAAAGAACGCTATCTGGAATGGATTGAACCTGTATGTATCCGACTTTTATTTAAAGTTATCTTCCAATCTTTACGGCGTCGTACCTTTAACAATTTTTAAGCTTGCCGACCTACCCTCGATCGGACTCATAGCGGTTATCAATCGACGTGGCCAGATCGATACGTTTTTCAATATTTTCGAAGCGATCCTACAGCTCCTCATTCAAAAGGTGCGAATCGATACATTTCTCCTCACCCATTATAGCTTCCACCTCTGGCGAATCGGCCTAGAGTTTTCGCTATGAACTTCCATTTATGGAATGGATATCACCGTGATACCTGCCAACAGGTCAGCCTTTGACTATTTTAAGGCGATGTGAAAACTGCGGTCTCAGACGCGGTCATGTCTGAGAAAAATTATATAGCAACCAGATATGTTAACGGTGTCCCTTGTATGTACAAAAGAATTCGTTTCAGTGGGCGGATGATCGAGTATTTTCTGCCAGGTTGCAAGACACAATGGCGTCTCTGGATCTACCGGAGGGAGCGGCTCTCATAGAGAATTTTTCACCGCCCCCGAAAATGGTAGGTTGTGATATAACAAGCACAAATTATGTAAAGAACTAATAAACTGAAATGTTTTCAGGAACGAAGACTGTTCGTTTTGGTGCAAGGATGTAGAACGAGATCCAAGGAATATTGGAATTCGTGGCTGCGAAAGCAGCTTGGAGGCACATTCGGCTCCGCGACGACCGTTTTCAACGGCCCAGAATCCGATGACGCAACAGAAAGTTATTGATTTTTGTTTCTTTATGCCATTGCTTAACCTTGAATAAAGAAATTTATTAGGAAAGGCGAATGGTCCCGAAATCCCGGTACCTGCTCAACATTTACACAAGCATAAAATAAAAAATGGCCAGCTTTACAGTACATGAAAACAGTACCAAAGCGGACTAATAAAGTACTAGATAAATTCTGGGCAAGCGCCAAACGTTCCATGTAATTCCCCGACTTGACCTAACAAACAGCACCTAGGGCTATTTCTGCAGGTGTCATCCGGGTCAACAATTCGCCGGCCCAGTCCTTGCTACCCGATAATGCTAGTTTTCAACAATCCCCGAAACATTCAATTGATTTATTGAACATTCGTTTTCGCTAGAAACCGTACGTTCTGGCTTTAATTTCAGAAAACATGTTGGGCAAGTTTTCGGTGAAGGAGCTGCCCTTAGCCTTATTGCCGATGGTCTACGACAAGATGAATCCGGCTGCAAAGTATCGTTTTCGGGCGGCTAATAAGGTAAATATTACATTTGAGCGTGACCGTAGCTTTTAAGGCATTGTTTGTACGTGCTTCGCGCCGCATTCCACTGATGTCTGGACCCGTGCGTACGATGAGGCTGGGCCGACGAGATGTAAGAAAAATGCAAATTGCAAAAAAACGTTAGGATTTGCAGACATGGCGTGCGGATATCGAAGTTGAGCCAGGAGCTCAGTTTATAATTGAATACATTTCACGTCGCAAACCCTCGATCCTGCTCAGATCGAAAAATAAGAGAACGAAGAAAACGCGGTTAGTTTGTGCGCTGACGCGGGGATGATTGCCTTGTCGCTTCCAGGGATTTCACGATGCACGATGCGGATTTGGAGACATGGTTCAGGCTCCTCGAAAAGTTTAGAGCCGATAACCAGAGGTTCTATTTTTGCGCGTCGCGGTCGGGCCGCGATGAACGAAATTTATTTTCCTCCATCATCCCTAAGCTTCCGAATGCTCAACGCCGCTCCATGGCGCTGAGCAGCGGCACATTCCAGGTATTTGTGCGGATAGTTGAGGGTGCCGAGATTTCAATTGCATAGCTACGGTGATTTCAGATGGCACGTATGACGAGCATTTTGGCTCACCTTCGCGAGAGGCCCGACTTTGTAAGCGATTCTTTTATGCGCATAGAATAGGCTAGTTACCATCACCATTAAGTCACATTAAACTCAAGGTTCTCGCCAATATTCTCGCTCGTTTTTCGAAATTTTTTTAGAACGAAAAGATTTTATCGATATGGTCTGAACGTTTTCGCGCCGTCGACTTTTCCATCCCAGACTTTCTCAATTGGGCCGAAAAGGTAAGCGAATCCCGACATCCAAACGATTTCGCTTCGACTTCCGTATTTAGGGTGGTGGCTTTTACTTTCCTTTTCCTCTAAAAGTTTTATTGCTGGTTTTAGCTCGTTGGGTTGCGCGCGCTGGGGCTGGGGCCCTATATCCGTCATCGAGATCACATCGAGCCACTGCTGGATGTTCTCAAAGCGCTCCTCACATTTTTCATCCACAAGGTACGGTTTTCGGTTCAGAAGGCCGAGGTTAGGGCCTCTTAGAATTGCCTCGTTTTTTTCAGCATCCACCTCAAGGTAAACAAACTAGGATTTTCATGATGGTTGTCGATCTAACGCTGGTCAATGAACTTTCACAACAGGTCCAGGTTCGTTGGTTGCTAAGGCTTTTTGATCTGTATCCCTTCAGGAAGCCCTTCATCGTCAATTTTCGAAAACACTGGAAGAAATTGTCGAATCCGTACGGTTGCCGGATGGCACGATGCTTTTCGACAATTATTCGGCGCCCCCGAAGATGGTAGGTTCCTCGTTCGCACAATCCCACGATAATCTGAATTAGCTTTTCTAAAGACCGAAATTAAGTATGGTGCGTTTTCAGCACCGCAGAATATATGCCCTGACGCAGGGTTTTGATGGGAAATCTGAGAAGATTTGCGAAAGTACGTTGCGCCCGATCTTTGGACCCCTATGGGGAACGAAGACGAAGATCTTCAGAGGCAGCGAACGGCCTTTCACACTTGCCACTCGTGAAGAATAAATGCTGACATGGCATTCAATCCAGATCCTTCCAGAATTTCAGAATTAAACGGCGATAAACCTTTTTAATAAAAACCTAAATCCTTTAAATTAAAATAATTAAATAAAAAATAGCTTTTGGATATCAAGTAACCATTCACGGGGGGTAGAAGAATATGCGTTTTCATATGAGCTACCATAGTATCGGATCGGAAGGATAGTTACACCACTCGAAAGTCCTTGAAACGGCGAGTTTTGCTGCAGCCTTCACAGCCAAGTTTTTATTTAAACGCGCGATTTTACACAGCATTTAAAAAGATTAAGGAACGGCCTCTGAATCTGATTAACGGCCACGTCCGGTAATTTTACTTGGAGAATTTGAGGCAAATTGGCTCGTATTGCAACCCCGAAAAACGGAATATTTTACAAAATTGCTTGTAAAATGACGCGTTTAAATAAAAAGATGGTTTAGAATATTGTTGCAAAGGGCTTCAAGGGCTTTCGAATGGTGTAAAAATCATCCCGATCCGAACTTTCTTCGGACCGCTAGAGGGTGGTCGATTTTTTTGGGACACCCTGTATTAGCCACGGTCGCAGTTTCATTTCCAGAAAACATGTTGCAGAAATTTCCGGTGAACACTACCCCTAGATTTTTTTGAGGGCAATTTATAGCAAGATGAATCCGGATGCAACGTATCGTTTTCGTGCCATTAATAAGGTATTTTTTCTTAATTATATTAATTTTAAACCCATGAAAAAGATGCTTTTGATAAAATTGAAGCGCTCAGAGGTAACAGAGGATTTATGGTACACACATGATCAGACTAATCGAAGAAGACACGGTGGGTGCAGTAGATGATGGCGATGATGACCGTGGCAAAGAGGGGCAGTGGAGCAGATGACGTCGGAGCAGTCTGCGGCTCGTCCGGCAGCTCCCAGACGTCGCACTTCGGCTGAACAAGATGATTCAAGCGATGTTTACAAAAGGTCAGTCAGCCCACCGGCTCGTCCGCCTTTTGAAACGACTTCCACTGGCGCAGCACATCCGGGTGCGCTACAATGACGATGGTGAAGGTGATAGAGAGAGAGAGAGAGAGAGAGAGAGAGAGAGAGAGTGATAGAGGTCCACTTACCAGGAGTGAAGCGGACGTTGGTGAGGTCCCGTTCTACAAAATGTTCTTTTGACCGCACTCTCCCAGGGACTCAACTGCAATGGCAGCCTGTCGCCTCGGGCCAATCATCGTAGCATCCGATCTTGTCATCCGCCAGCGTCCCGCCCGTCCCGGACCCGCAGAACACGTCGTTCGGTCCACACCCTTGGATCATAATAAGGTTAGAGTGCAGTTTACTCCTCCCCCCAGCCGGCGCCCAACTTTTCTTTCTCGGCTCCCTGTTGATCTACAGGTGTGTAAAATATACCAAAACGTTCGCCTTGCTCTGGCGAGTATTTTGGTATACTTAACACACCTGTAGGATAACGAGGAGCCGAGATACGGTAGTTGGGGTCGGCTGGGGGGGCGGGGAGCGGGGGGGTAAACTGGACTTAAATGGCACGTTCAGGGACGTTTTTTGCAAAAAGCAAAGATTTTGCCGCGGCCGGGGGCCGAACCCGGGTCCCCCCCTCGGCAGGCGCGGATGGATACCAGTCAGCCACAGCTACAACCAGCTACTCGACGTTTCAAGGGCTTTCGAATGGTGTTTCGTCTTCGTGTGATCTTTCGTTCAGGATCGACACTTCTGCGTCGAGTTAGAGAGGGGCTACAAGGATACCTCCCCAGCTCGAAGTTCGACTTCGGTTAGCTATATAGCGTTTCAGATGCTGTTTTTCGCGCTGATCACGATCCCGATATTTATTTTTGTCCAAATCCATAGGAACGCTATGAAAAATCATTTTAAACATTCAGCATTTTTTGCCTGGCTGGGCGTGATCGGATCCACGCGCTTCAAAGCCTCTTTCCAAAGGGGAGTCAGGGGTTCGAGTCTTGCCGCTGACGGCTTTTTTGCTTTTTGGATAAAAGTGCTGGGAAGGTCATATGAGTACGATAGAGTACCGAAAAATATACAGAGTTTTAATTTAATTGATTTCAGCTAATAATATCCTACTATATATAAAAAAATAGTGGATGTATGTCTGCATTTGCATGCAACTTCCGTCCGGCTGTTCCGCACGTATTGGGCCGGGGTAAGGCTTTTAAGGTACGGGAGATATGTAATTAAGTCGGAAATCGGCTTCGCATGACTGCCGACCTACAAGATTTTTTTGGGCAACCTGTGTGTATCTCTCGTGTGTTAAACTCGCCGTGGCAAACTTACGGTAGGTATCTTCGCGGTCCTTTTTCCGATCCCTCACCGTGAACCAGGACCGAAGCCGGTCACTTTCACTCTCGAGGGTCGGCTTCCTGAGCTCACACGGCTCCTTCCCGGTCGCGTCGCACCAATAGCGCACTAAAAAAATAACGTTTTACGATCAAAGGTAAGGGTGTGGGACCCCCCGGCCGGCACCAACTTTTGTATCTCGCCCCCCCCCCTTGTGCTAGCGAGCTCTAAAGTATACCAAAATTTCGCAGTAGGCTAATTAGTAAGAACCAGGGCTTCGCGACTTTTCAACCCTGGCCCCGTCTAATCCTATGATATTCATAATTTTGCATAATTGTGCCTCAATTCCGATGACAAAAAAAAATAAAAAACGCTACCTATGTGCCTTTGTATAGGCTGCTGCAACTTCCGGCATATGCTAATTTTATCCTAACAAAGAGGGTGGCCGGATTTTTACGAAAAGCTTAATTTTAATGTCGAAAACAACATCTTTTACAAAATCTGAAATGTGTGCAGTCATCTCCAATCCATTACGCTTCTAATGACGTATCAAACACCTCCTCACACCCCTCCCCTCTAGAGATATCCTCCGGACACGCTGACGGAAGTTGCATGCAAATGCACACACACACACACAAACACTATTTTTTTATATATACTAGGACTAGGATACATTGCAATTGAGTCAAATAACTAGCGAAAATAGAAATAGGGAGGGTAGACAAGTTGGGAGCTATTGATGTTGGGGGCGGATCTTTTTTGCAGGCTTTTTCCGGCCTAAGCTTGTCTCCAAGCCTAAGCTAACCAAGCCAAGCCCAGCCTAAGCATAGCCTAAGTAAAGCCTAGGCCTAAGCCCAAACCTAAGCTAATCCTAAGCTAGCTGTAGGCTAAGCCTAAGCTAGGAATAGGCCAAGCCTAAGCTAAGCCTAGACTAAGCCTAGACTAAGCCAAGCGTACTCAAAGTTAAAGCTAAGCCTAAGCCTAAGCTTGGGCCCCCAAAAAAAGAAAAGTGGCTTGGCTAAATTTTCGTATCTGGTCACGAAACCGATTTCGGATTTCGACGAACTGGAAAAACTACACGCCGCAAAAGGGATACGCGACACTGCCGTATACGCTGCTCTAAACTAAACTTGCTAAAAATGCGAACCTCAACGCTTTAATTAAAGTAGTGTCTAAATTCAGTGCTTTGGAATGATACTTAAACCGCGAAAAGAAGCACTACTGCAGACGCAGGAGGGAGGGTCTCGTTTGGGATACTTTGTAAACTAGAAAGCATACCAAAGCCCCCTGTGGGGTCGTCAGCCTCGACGGAGATGATGACGATGGCGACGACAAGGAGCACGAAAATGGGAAGCAGCGAAGGGCGGCGCATCGCCAGAACGGACGAGTCGAACGGAATGAGCTTTTGCATGACAACCCAGGCACAGCGCACCCGAAAATTTACGCAAAAAGCTCATCATGATTACGAATGCTAAATATTGGAATGCCAAGTCAAAAGCCGCCCTCGGTCTTTGGCAGTATCGGGGGGGGGCGAGTTTAGGTGGGAAAATTCGGGGCATGCTGGCTACACTATGGTTGCCTGTCGGTCGATAAACTGGCTGGGCGGACCCCCGACGAAGACTTTGAGTTCTGCGAAACAACCGAGGTTCGGATTCAGCGAGACCTCGGAAAAGCATAGATTTATTGAGAGAAATTGGCTTCATCCAAACACAAGCTATTTTCAGCTCAACAATTACCTATTTTTCCTAGTTTTTTCTAATTTCAACCGATGACCTAGTCGATATTTTGGCGACTCAGAAAAGAACACCCGAGGCTATTTAGGGCAGATGGGGTATCTTTTAAAGTATTCGTTCGTCCCACAACAGGATATCCACGTCCACAATCTATAGTTACTCACAATATTAGCCGATTTAGCTTTAGATTTCATTAAATTTGGTTTATATATCAGCCACGGTCGCAGCTTCGTTTTCAGAGAATATGTTAGACACATTTCCCGTGAAACAGCTTCCCTTGCTGTTATTGAGGGACATCTATAGAAAGATCAGTCCTGACGAAAAGTATCGTTTTCGGGCCGTTAATAAGGTATGTCTAACCAAGAAACACATATTTTAATGTTTTAGACCTTGTTTGCAACGGCTGCGCGCTACATCCCGCTGATGTCTGGACCCGTGCGTTTGATGAAATTGGAGCGCACAGAGGTGACAAAATGCGGACTAAAAACATAATTTGCAGACGTGGCTTGCGGATATCAAAGTTACGCCGGAAGTCAAGTTTATAATCACCTGCAACTCGAATCCCGACTCGATCAACCTGAAATGGCAGAATGAGTCCGCGAATGAAAGCTGGTCGGTGTGAAGATGAACTCCCTAAAAACCTTTGCAATTTCTGCCTATATAGTAAGATATAGTAAGAAAAACCGCTTCCCCCCTCCCGATAATGCGAAAGAATCGATTTTATTTTAGGCTTTTCGGTTCAAACGCTCCACTTTGCCATCTAAAGTGCACTACTCTAGCTTCAATTGCAGGGAATTAACGGTGCTCGGTGCGGATTTGAAGACATGGTTCAGGCTCTTGGAACAGCTTAGCGTCTTCCATCGGTCTTTCGATTTTTTGACGCCCTGGCCGGGGGAACACGAACAAGATGAATTTTCCGACGTGATACCTCGACTTCCGAATGCCCGACGCTGTTCAGTGGGTGTTACTAGCGAGACAATTCAGGTACTTTGCCTTTTCTTGCGATGTGATGGGTTGATCGGTTATGGTTGGTTAGCGGGGGGGGTATCGCGCGGGAAGCCACGCCCATGTCCCACTGCCTTTCACAATAGGCCTCTTGGGGGGACTATTTGAAGCCCCCCCCGCTAACGAACCAGAACCGGTTGATCCTAATATAATAGCAACGGTTCTTTCAGTTGAGCATCAAACGTATGAAGAGCATCTTGGCCCACTTTCGCAAAAGGATCGACTTTGTAAGTGTTTTAGAGCCGATCAGCGACGGGTTTCTTTCGAAATTTAAAAAAATCATAACGTCGAATTGCATAATCCGAAATCTCGTAGTGTCGAAATGTCATAATGCCGAAATGTCTTACTCGAAATTGAAATAAGCTGATTTTCCCGCAAAGCCCCCGAATCCTATGCAAAAAAATCTCGACATTTTGAATTTCGACACAATGGATGTTCGAATTATTATAGCAAATAGCTTTAGAACGAAATGGATTCCGGGAAATGGGCGGACCGTTTTCTCTACGACCACTCGCCGATCTCCGACTATCTGGATTGGGCCGAAAAGGTCAGTTCGTTCTTTGGGTTGCCTTGTCCAGCTTTTTAGCTTTTAACGGCTATCCTTTACCTTCTAGGCCCTTTTTTTGTTTCAGCTAATTGGCTCCACGATTTTATCACTGCAACCCTGTATTCGACGTCAACGTCAAATCGAACCGCTTATGGATGTTCTCAGAGCGCTGCTCACTTTCCTCATTGATAAGGTACGGGTGTGGGTTCTTGAAACAACGATATGTTCTTCGTTTCATGACCCCAATATTTCAGCATCCCCCTCGACGAAAAGATGGTCGGCTATTCTTGATGGTCATGAATCTCAAACAATTCTATCGACCCTGGCCACCGGCTCAGGTTCGTTCTTATGACATTGGTCCCCGGCGCCAAACCGACAGAGTCTTCTAATTTCCTCCGTCATCTATTGCCTTATCTGGTCCTTTTTAGGAAGCTCTTGATAATCAGTTTTCCAACGCGCTGAAAGATATCGTCAAATCGATTCGATTGCCGGAGGAAACGATGATTTTCGAAAGTTATTCAGAACCTCCGGAGATGGTGGGTGTCTATAGTTCTATCATGACATGGTAATCAAAAAATAAACTTTTCTACGAAATCGGAAATCAAACCTCACTTTTTAGGACTGTAGAATTTATGCTCTGATGCAAGGCTATGATTCAGACCCGATGGAATTTTGCGAAAAATTTTTGCGGCCAATGTTTGGACCGATGTGGGGTACGAAGACGAAGGTCTTCAAAGGCAGTCAACCGTCTTATACATTTACGATTTGTGATAAATGAATTATGGCATGAATTGAGCACTTTTCCGAAATAAACTGTTTAACTTTTAAAAAACCGCGGCGGATGTGGGGCACGAGATATTGTAGAGGTTCGGATCCAGCGAGGCCTCAGAAAAGCATAGATTTTTTGAGAGAAATTGGCTTCATGCGAAGGCAAGCGATTTTCAGCTTAACAATTACTGATTTTTCCAAGTTTTTTTCTAGTTTGGTCCGATGACCCAGTCGATATGTTGGCGTCTTAGAAAACATCCTCGAGGCTATTTGGGGCAGGTGGGCTTTCTTTTAGAGCATTCGTCCGTCGTTCACAACGCGATATCCACTTACCCGCCTTATATTACTCCCAATATTAGCCGATTTAGCTTTAGATTTCATTAAGAAATTTCAGCAAACATGTTAGCCAAGTTTCCGGTCAAGGAGCTTCCCGTACTGTCATTGAGGAAAATCTATCGCAAGCTGAATCCCGATGCAAAGTATCGTTTTCGGGCGATTAATAAGGTATGGGACTATGGGTAACATTGGAGCAGATATTTCCATGTTTTTAAGGCCTTGTTTGCAACGGCTTCACGCTCCATCACCCTCTTTTCTGGGCCCGTGCGTTGCATGGATTTGAGGTTAAGAGAGGTACCAAAATGCGAGCCACAAAGGGGTATCGTAGCGTGGGTTACATGGGTTTCAATTTTTGTGTTGCGTCTTTCAGACATGGCTTGCGTCGATCTTCGTCGACAGTTCGATTGTATTTCAAATCGACTACAGCCGGGATCCCGATTCGATCAATCTCAAATGGAAAAATAAGACCACGAATGAAACCTGGTAAGTGTGCTCAGGCTCAGACTCAGGCTTAGGTTTCGCGTCTTTTTACGCCTTCGTATCAGCTTTTTAGGCTTCAGCATCCGTGTAAGCATATGTATAGCTGAATTGGGCGTCCGGTCACTACCCCGAAAAGTCACTACCCCGAAAGTCGCTACCCCGAAAAGTCATTACCCCGAAAAGTCACTACGCCGAAATCGTTTACCCCGAAAAATGATAGCATTGTTTTTCCCCGAAAAATCCAGTTTTCATGCTGTTTTTCTATGAAAATCATGCAAATTATTTCGGAGTAGTGACTTTTCGGGGTAGTGACTTTTCGGGGTAATGACTTTTCGGGGTAGTGACTTTTTGGCGTATTGACTTTCGGGGTAGTGACTTTACCCCGCTGAATTGCAGGGAGTTGACTATGCACGGTGCTGATTTGAAGACATGGTTCCGTCTCCTCCATGAGCTGAGAGCCAAGAAGCAGCGTTTCTATTTTCTCGGGTCGCGATGGGATGACGAGGATCAAAATGGATTTTCCTCCATAATACCTAAACTTTCGAACGCTCAACGCCGCTCAATGACGATTCAGAGCACGACATTCCAGGTACTTCTATTTTTTTTTTGCAGCCGCTGACATTTAATCGATAATTAGAATAATTTAGTTGAGCTTGACACGCATGAAGAGCATCATGTCTCGCCTTCGCAAGAGGCCAGACTTTGTAAGTCTTCCTCCGATGAGCGTAATATTCCTGAAACATCAAATGTGTGAAAATGAAAATGAAACATCAACATAATGCTTTAGAACAAAAATGTGTCTCTATCGACATGGCGTGACCGTTTCATCTACGACAACTCTCCGATCTCCGACTTTCTTCAATGGGCAAAGACGGTAAGCCGCGCTGGAAATCCAGACGGTTTTTTGCTTGTATTTTCCATTACTTTGTAAAACTTCTTTCATATTGCAGTCCGTTCGCTTGCCCGTAGTAGGGATGAGCTTCTTTATTCATGATCGCAATCAGATAGAGCCAATTCTGGACGTTCTTAAAGCGCTACTCACGTTTTTCATCTACAAGGTACGGCTTTCACGTCAGCAGACCCAGGTTTTGAGTATCTCTGTACTCTGCCTACCTTTCAGCGTCCAGCTAAGGGAGCACAAACTCGGATTTTCTACATGCACGTCGACATGTCCTCGTTTTATGCACCCTCCCGACGTGTTCAGGTCGGTACTTAATTCCCGATGGCGCTGCTCACCGCATCGAGCCTAGAATATTCTTGATTTTATTCTCTTCAGACGCAACTGCATCGGTACTTTAACGAAACATTGGAGGATATCGTCAAATCCGTCCGGTTGCCGCAAGGGACGATGCTTTTCGACAATTCCTCAGCACCCCCGAAGATGGTAAGCCGTTGTGCATCGCTCTAACAATTGACAAGGAAGTCTTATCAGAACGGAAGTGAAGAATCATTTTTCAGAACACGCGAATCTATACTTTGGCGCAGGGATTTGACGTGAAACCGGAGGAATTCTGCGCTGAAACCTTGCGGCCCAAATTTGGACAGCATTGGGGTACGAAAACGAACATTTGGAGAGGCGACGAGCCGGTTTTCACGTTCACCGCAAATAATTTTGGGCCATGGTAGTGAAATTGTTACTATTTTTCCGCGATAAAGTCTTTTTGAATGGAGATTATTTTACGTGTTCAACATCGAAACACAGAACCGTCTATCGGATACGTATGGGTACAGTACGCCCCAGATTGACAACGTACAAAAACCGCCTTGATTGATGGGCCTAGGACGATAAAAAGGCGGACCGAACAGCCGAAATGAGATATTGAAGTGCGTAAAAAAACCCCGTACCTCATATTGATCATAGTAATCATAGTATAATAACTAAGCAAACTGCCGCCTTGCCAGAAAAATTTCTGGGAAAAGCGTCGAAAGATCCATATAATTCCCGGATTTGGCCTAGCAAACAGCACCTAGGGATATATTTCTGCAGGCGGCATCGGGGCCCGCAAGTCACCCGCCATTTTCTCGATACTCGATCATTCTAGTTGCCGACAGTTCTCCGAAAAATTCACTTAATTTTTAAAACCTAGCTCGGCAATCGACTTAGTATTGAATATAGTTTAATCCCATTCGTTTTTCATAAAAGCCTCATGTTCTGGCTTCAATTTCAGAAAACATGTTAGACACATTTCCGGTGAAGGAGCTACCCTTACTGTTATTGAGGGAAATCTACCGCAAGATGAATCCCGATGCAAAGTATCGCTTTCGGGCCGTTAATAAGGTATGGGTAAAATTAGAGCAGATATTTTCGTATTTTTAAGGCCTTGTTCGCAACGGCTTCGCGCTCCATCATACTCTTGTCTGGACCCGTGCATTCGATGAGGTTCCGCCGGATAGATGTAAGAAAATGCGAATGGCAAAAAAAACCGTTTGGATTTGCAGAAATGGCTTGCGGATATCGAAGTTGAGCCGGGAGTCCAGTTCAAAATCGAATACAGCATGCGTCCCACCAAGTCTGTCCATCTCAAATGGGAAAATAAGGCTGTGAATAAAACTTGGTCAGTGTGTGAGCATCTGAATAACTTCGATTTTAGGCAATTGACGGTACAGCTTGCCAATTTGGAGAAATGCAGGCTCTTCGAGCAGCTGAGAGCCATTGAGCAGGATTTCGATTTTTATTCGCCCCGGTGGGGCCACCAGGATCGAAGTAGATTTTCCACCGTGATTCCTCAATTGCCGAATGCTCAACGCCGCTCAATGACGATTCTTAGCCAGACATTCCAGGTACTTCTTCTTTTTTTTCGGTCGCCCACATGCAATTGGGTAATTACGATTGTTTCAGGTGAGCTTGACACGTATAAAGAGCATCATGTCTCGGCTTCGCAAGAGGCCAGACTTTGTAAGTCTTTCTTCTATGAGCGTAATATTCCTGAAACATCACCATAATGCTTTAGAACAAAAACGTGCCTCTATCAGCGTGGCGTGACCGTTTTACCTACGACGACTCTCCGACCTCCGACTTCCTGGAGTGGGCAGAGGCGGTAAGCTCGTGTGAAATCCAGAGGGTTTCGTGCTTCGGGCTCCCTTTATTTATTGTTCCAGCTTGGTGGCTGTTCCGAACTAATGTTGGAACCCTTTATTCAAAACCAAAATCAGCTAGAGTCCCTTCTGGATGCTCTGAAAGCGCTACTCACATTCCTCATCTGTAAGGTACGGTTTCCCGTCAGAAGACCCAGGTTTTCGGTATCTCTGCAGTGCAGAGTCTGTACTCTACCAACCTTTCAGCATCCACCTCAAGGCACACAAACACGGATTTTCTACATGCATGTCGACATGGCCCAGTTTTTTGCACCCTCGCGACGTGTTCAGGTTGTTGCTCAATTCCCGATGACGCTACATACTACATCGAGCCTAGAATTTTCTGATTTTATTATCTTCAGACGCAGCTGCATCGTTACTTTAACGAAACATTGGAGGATATCGTCAAATCCATCCGGTTGCCGGAAGGGACGATGCTTTTTGATAATTCCTCAGCACCCCCTAAAATGGTAGGCCTTGTCCATCGCTCTAACAATTGGCAAGAGGATCGTATCAGAACGGAAGTGAAGAATCATTTTTCAGAACAGGAGAATCTATGCTTTGGCGCAGGGACTTGATGTGAAACCGGAGGAATTCTGCGCCGAAACCTTGCGGCCCAAGTTTGGACAGAATTGGGGTACGAAAACGAACATATGGAGAGGCGACAAGCCAGTCTTCACGCTGACCGCAAATAATTTTGGGCCATGGTAATTACTAATATTCTTCCACGATAAAGACTTGTTGCTTTTCGTCCCGAGCGTTCAACATCGAAATGTCTGTTTACACATGTCTGTTACATTTACATATCAAAATCACCCTTATTTATTATCTTAGGAACATTACAACAGTCAATCAGCCGAAACGGGGAAGCACAGTAAAAGAACCAGGTATAAAAGCCTAACAAGGAAAAATACTCCAGTTAACACAGTCTGAAAAACCGATAGTCGGTTGAGAGAGGCGCGGGGAAGGGAGACAAGAAATAATTAAGGTTAGACCAGCAACGAGTAGTAGGAGAACTAAAAATATTGGGCGCACCCCAACGATGACTACGAACAGAAATGAAAGCCGTCTTTAGAACACGAATTCTTCATCAGCCATATCGAGCGCCCATCGGAACTTGTCGCGATGAGTCTTGGAAAATATCTAAAAGAAATATCGAAGCTGGAAAGGGAATTAAACCTTTTCAATTGGCACATCGTTCTTCTTGCACCAGGCGACCGTGATCCGCGGATCGAGATAGTTCAGCTTTGAAGTACCCAAAGCAATCTGCTTGTTCTCATCCTAAAAAAACAGTTAGTGCCCCGCCAAAAAATTAGCGTACCTTATCAGTGCGATTGATCTTCAGCTTCTTGTACTGGTCCTTCAATCGATCCATCTTTTTCTTAGCCTTCTCCTTGTCACCGGACTTTGCCTTCTCGTACTCGGCCTTCGCATCCTTCAGCTCTTTCTTCTTGTCTTTGATCTAAAGCAGAAAAATGCTGCGAAGCTGTTTAGGCCATCTTACCTTCTTTTCCAAATTCGCCATGCTCGCGTCGTGAGTCTTTGGCACCGCACGCTGATGGTTACACAGGATGGCGACCTGTCGATTGGCGCGATTGTAGGAGAGGATCTTCTGGTGCACGTTGTCTTTCGCTATAAAGGGGGTCTTATGCTAGCGAATTGCCCTTACGATTTGTCAATTTGTCCAGCTGATCCTGCAACGTGATGGATGCGTTGTAGGTACGGAACACCTTGACCGTCAAGTTCGGCATGAGCGATTGAAGATGTTGGTTAAGAGTGGAGGTCTAAAATTAACATAAAACGTTGTGCAAGTAATCCCTTACATCAAGCCGATCAAACAGGTCGTCATCCGGCTCCTTGCCTTCCTTGAACAGCTTGAGATTCTTGAAGACAGTTTTTTCGACGGGCACTTTGTTGTAGTAACGAATGGAATCCTTTCCGAGGAAGTCGAATTCTACCACGTAACTAAAGCAGATTTGGAGCTGGGAAAATAAAAATACTTTTGCCCATCCAGTTCCTCGTGGAGGTTGATGTGCTCGCAACGAAGAGAGCAGCAACCAACAGTGTCTGCGGCTTCTTCGGTATCCTTTTCGTTACCCGCACGAAGAGCCAGCTAAAAAAAATAGAATTTTCCACATTTTGACAATCTTCAAGGTATCAGCGCTAGTTTCCCATACCTTATCAATAAAGTACAATGCAACCGCGCGCTGTCGAAGCCTCATCTCCTTGCTCTTCCAGTCGCCACGGTAGACCTCCCGAATATTGTCAATGCGAGTCTTGAGGCGTCGAGCCGTCTCAAACTTCGAGTAGTCCTTCTCGCCCTTTATCTTGCTGTTCGCGTTCAGCATCATGTATTTATTTTGCCCGCCGACGTTCTCCGTCCAGCAGCACAGCCAAGTGACCTTTGGGTCGTGTCGGACCTCCTTCCACTTATGGCCAGGGGGAGGCTTCGGGATCTCGGAGCACCTAAAGAAAAGTATACGTAAAAAACGAAAAAATACTTTGAACAGTTGATGATCACATCTTCCGGCATGACGCGACGCTTCAATTTACCCATCTTCGGATGGCCACCACGACCACGGAAGAGACCCGGGGGCTCCAACCGGAAATTCCCTATCTTCTGCTTGTGCCCGTCGATAATTGCGAACCCGTAAACCTTCATGTCGGCCTCATTTTTCTCCTAAAATACGTATACAATTAATGTGTAAACGAATCTCACTAAAAACTTTGAACTCACTTACCCTCAATTTCAACTTGTCTTCCTTCGTCATGGCTTTGCGCTGTTCAGAAAGGAGTTTGTAGTGCTCGTCAATCTGGCGGAAGTCGCACTTCTTCAAGTCAGTGATCAATTCCCGCTCGGCCGCAGTCATTGTCTAAAAGATTTTTTTCTCTAGATAAAAAAACCATACCTTTCGCCAATCCTTCCAGAAATTGTTGTTGAACATCTCCTTCGTCGTGTACTCGTGGTCGAGCATCCGAGCGTAAAATCCAGCCACTTCTTCGGCGGCGGCCCCAAGTTTGACCACCTAAAGATCGGTGAAATGTCGAACAATGCCAAAACCCACCTTTCCGTCGTAGAAGAAGTTGACGTGCGACGGCAACGGCTCGTAAGGGGCCGAGAAGACGGGACCCTAAAAGAAATTCGAATAAAACATACACGTTTGGACGCGGCGGAGCGCGTAGTAACAATAATGCCTCACCATATGTTGTAACGTCTTCCACTTGATCGAATCGTCTGTTTTCTCTTCCTTCCACCATTCCCACACGTCCTCCTTCTCTTCCTCTTTCTTCTTTCTTCCGCCGCTCTTCACCGGAGACGACTTGGCGCTGCTACTCACGCTAGTCCGCTTCGAATCTTTTTTCTCCTCCTTCTTGGACTTCGATTTCTTTTTCTGAAAAATTCGTATTCGTCTTTCTACAAAGTTTACCTCCTTGTAATCGTCGGAATCATCCGAATCGGCGTACTTCCGCTTTTTATCTTTCTTGTCCTTCTTTTCTTTCTTTTTCTAAAGGAGCCACTAAAATTATTGCCATAAGACCAACCTGAGGCTTGTAGTCGTCTTCGCTATCACTTTCTTCTTTCCGCCGTTTGGATTTTTCCTTGGGCTTTTTCTCCTTCTCTTTGTCTTTCTAAAAGTCACCATCGAATACTGAAAAGATTAAATGCCTTTTGCTCCTCCAACTTCATTCGCTCGCTCCAAGGTAGATCGTCGACATCAATCGGTTCTTCTTTCTAGAAAAGTTGAGAAAAGTTCCAGGCTATGTACCGGTTTCTTTTCAGCGGCCTCCATTTGGAGACGGACAGCCCATGGGATGTCATCTTCATCGAGGTAGCCACCATTTTCGTCCTTGGGCGCCGGGACAGCGATTTTTGTGGGCGAGTTTTGGCTACAAGCTAAATTTGACGAATCCGGTGAGAGTTCATACCTGCTCTTGAGCTCTTCTTTTACCTCATTGGTGTTGCCATTGGTATAAGGTAGCTGGGCCGCGACTTCGGTCATTGGTGGCGGCTAAACGGGAAGACTATGATAGAAGAGTGAGTGCGTCATCAATAGAAAACAAGACAGTTCACAGAATTTTCCCCCGGTTTGCCATTCTCCCTTTTCGGCGGAGGTGTTTCGCGTTGTTATCATCTACGCAACACGGGCCGGCTCTCCAAAATATAGCCCGCCTCTTCGGGGAGCTAGCGAACGCCGCAGCGGGGGATGGAGAAGGGGTTCCGAGACAGTGAGTCAGTGGACCGGTGGAGAGACGCAGGCGGCAGAGCACCGAGACCAAGAATACCAAGTCACCAAAAACCCCAAATCCGGGACGGGATGGGAAGTTTTTAGTTAATAATGCAAGTTTGAGGCATGGTACCTTGATTAGTCTTATTTTTAGGCTACGTTGGGATAAGTTTAGGTTTTTGACAGTGCGCGTAGTCTGATCCCAGTCTAGGTTCAGAAAGCAGAGTAGCCCTCCCCACTCGAAAAGTTCCGGCTTTTAAAAGTGGGCTAAGTTAAGGTATGAGCTGCCCCAGATGGCCGTGATTTGGCAGACGACAAAAGACACCAAAAAAGGGGTCGTAAGACTGTTTTAGATATCCCAACATGTTGGTATCAATCGATAGCGGGAAGAGCAGACAGCCATTAGTGCACATCAGAATGTGCCTGTAAAGGTATGGGGAAGACATTGGAGGGGTGGGGATGACGAAAGGAACGGGCGCATATGCGTTTCACAGACGCCCGGTAGGGGACATAGAATTTTCAGGAACGGGGCCGAGTCGATAGGGGGTGGGTGGCCGCGTGGAGGACAAGTCCAGGGAGTGAGGGGAAGATAGCCGAAAAAGCAACCGCATGGGGGTGCTGTGCCGGCTGGGGGGCGCCTCCCGCAACGCGACCGCCCCGCCCCTACCAAATGATTGGCTATTTGCCAACGGGGAATTAGATGGTGTTATGGGCAAGCGAAAAACGTCCAGAAATTTAAATGATCTTCTTTCACATAAAAATATTATAGAAACTATCTACGTAACTTTCATAAATTAATGAGTTTTTTAATGACTTGGGGAAACGCGGTTCTTTCGCATTATCGGGGGGGACAAATGATTTCCTAGAATCCAATTTGTAAATATAAAGTCCGGAAGTGATTCTAAACTGTTTTTTATTGTCCCTAATCGCAAAAACTTTGCAAATTTTGATAACGAAATCGAAAATGCACGTTTTCGGCCAAAATTACAAGAATTTAGATTACAGAATACAAAAAAAATCCCCCGATAATGCGAAAGAACCGAAAATTTTCTGTCAGAAATGAAAACAAAACTACTGGAGGACAAGCTGAATATCCGGCGCTGCATTCGCCGTCTCATCGATGATGGGCTGCAGGAAGCTGAAAAACGTTCACTCGACGATGGGGCAAACAGGTGGATTTTTTTATACTTTATTCGGGACCTATCCCCTTTCAGCAGCATGTCATTTTTGGAAAAAGTGGCCATGGAAGAGCTGGGCGAGCTGCACAAGCAGTTGATGGTGATTTTTATTTTAATTCAGATGTATTGTTGATTTTAGGCCGAGTTAGCAACCTTCCGTGTGTCCAGAGAGCGAGGGCCCTTGCTTCGAATGTTAAACCCTGATGTTATGCTGAATTCGGCGAGCGGGAGCAGCGAACGCCCTTCATTACGTACTTCTCCTTCATCGACTCCTAGCGTTGAAGAAAGCCCAGAATCCGGAGAATCGACCAGTCGGGCAAGCGAGGAGAGCTTTCCGGTTCCGGGGGTAGTAATCATTTGGGATATCATGATATACGGTTCTAGATCCCAATATCGATCCCGCCGATTGAAATCAGACCATCAGAGGGCGAGCGCCATGACCCAACCTTCACGAATTACACGGAAAATAGGTTCCGGAATGTGATTCAAGCTGTCGAGTTTCCGGAAAGAGGCCCTGGTGGGACCCAATCGTTAGCCGATACAGAAAGGTTTTTGCTTTGATGTGCAAAAAGCCTAAAATATTCAGGGCTACGCAAAATTCCGGCGAGGACAGCGAACGTGTGTTCGTAAGTTTTCTAAATTCACCTAAAAGATGTGTAACCTTGTGTAGAGCCGTTTGGAGAGTTTGGTGGAAGCATTGGAGGCTCGAAGACGTTTGCGAAGCGGGCGTATTGACGAGACGCATGAGGTATGTCTAGGAGATCAATCAAAAATGCTTACAACGCAAAAAAAATTGCTTTTACATGGTTTTAGAAGGGTTCTTTCGCATTAGCGGGGGTGGGGCAGCTTTTTCAAATATAAATAGTGGAATTATTTCAAATTGGTTTTTTACTATTCGGAAACGTAAGACTTTACAATTATTCATTAAAAACTACGAAAAAAACATAGATTTTCCGACCAAAATGGCCGATTTTGGCTAAACTGTCGACTTTTTACAAGCTTTTCGACAGTTTTGATGGTGAAATGTAGCTATTTTTACCAAAGACAAATGAAAACACTTGCTATTAAGTTGCTAGACATTTCTAGACTTTTACAAAAAGTTCGCCCCCCCGTTAATGCGAAAGCACCTATAGAAGAAAGACGCCGCGACGAGCCCTGTACAACCCGATAGATCCACTGGCCGTCTATCCGCGTATAGGCATGCGTTTGACGAAGAATTCTCGAGCTCAGATCCGAGCTCCGATCCGTCGATCGGGCAAATCCGGCTTGAGCCGCTGGATCTCGGGTAAGCTACGCTGCGAAAGAAAAACAAAAACTTTGCAGATCACGTCCTATAATTTCCGTGCTGCCAGATGGGTCAGTGATTCGCACGCCACGAACTCCACGGATTGTCGAGAGCGAGGATGAAGCCGAGGATTCCTCGCAGCTAGAAACTTCTTCCGGGTCCTTTGTGGAAGGTTGGCAATATTGGAACCTAGAAAGCCTGAAATTTAGAGCTCTCCTGCCGACGCTCCGATTGGGGACCGCCGAGTCGGGTGCTCACCCTCAACTTTGCGGATATTCCTAGCAGCGCAATCGGTCGGTCGCCAAGGGATTTCGGTTCTTTTGCATTAACGGGGGGAGGGGCAACTTTTTCTTTTCTACTTTTTCTCATCCTAAACTTAAAACTGTAAATGTTCATTAAAAACCACAAAAAAATATAGATTTTACGACGACAATTGTGCCTAAAGATTCCGCCAAGTTTCTAAAATTGTTTTTGCGCTTTAAATAAAGTTAACTTTTACTAAAAACAATTAAAATGTTACAAATTAATCGGAAAGGTAAAATTTTACAAATTTTCATTAAAGATTACCAAAAAAATATGGGTTTACGACCGAAATTGCGCCTAAGATTCTTTGCGCGGTTTTTACGATTGTTTTTGCACTTGAAATACAGTTAGATTTTACTAAAATACGTTTAAATACTTCATATTAAGTTACTAGGTATTTCTAGACCGCCCCCCCCCCTCGATAATGCGAAAGAACCGTAATTTATCGTCTTCAAACCACGATTTAGAAACGTTTTCGGCACGTGATCGCCACAGTTCCCAACCAGACACCCCGACATCGTGCCATCATTTGGGATAAATGAGAGATAAAAACATTGGGAGAAACATCCTTGTCCCTAATTCTCGATCTCGGCCTTCCCTCGACCCCAACCAGCTCGCTCGCCCCGTCTGCGCCCTCTTACCCTCACCATCCACTCTCATCCCACCCCCTCCCATTGACGTCAACCTGCCTCCCGACCTGTTTTCCAGCAAGTTTCCGGCCTATTGTTCTTCCTATGATCTCTAAAAAATTGTTTTAACCGTGTAAAAGAAGCTCATAAACTTATTCTCATAAATTTAATTGAAAAACACGTGATTTGAAAGGGCAAGCAGCGTTTTTTGCAGATTTTTTTGATCGCTACTTTTATAAAACTTTATGTACGCATGATTATTCTTGACAGCTCAGACGGTAGTTTAAAAATTACGTTTTTGTACGTGGAACAGGATGAAAAACATTGGGTTTTTGCCCATGTTCAAGTCTTATAAGTATATAAATGTCTCATAATACCAATTGAAAGGCGTGTTTCGGACGGGGGAAATCTCTGCTTTTTTTTCTATTGATGTTCGGTGCTACTTTACAAAACGACTTCACAACGTTGATTTCTCAATTCACGTTTAAAGCTCAAACCGTGGCTTAAAAATGCGTTTTCTAAGTGAAAAAGATGAAATACCTAGATTTTTGCGTGATTTTGCAGAACTTCTGATTGACGGCG